GGGACCTTATATGGGGGGTAGGGTCAATTATGGACCGATCCTCATAAAATTTTTGGATCACAAGAAACTTACTTATGTCGAATTTCATCGCTATATTCGTATTTTTAAACAAGTTATGGCTGTTAAAGCTGCTTTTCGAGGGCCACTTGTATGGGGGCTATCCGAAAACGTGGACCGATATTGCCCATTTTCAATACCAAACAAACCTTACCTATAAGAAATATTTATGTGAAATTTCAACCCTCTAGCTCTTTCCATTCGGACTCTATCTTGCTTTCAACAGACAGACAGACGGACGGACGGACAGACATGGCTAGATCGTCTTAGAATTTAATGAGGACCCAGAATATATATACTTTTGTGGGTCTATGACCAATATTTCGATGTGTTACAAACGGAATGACAAAATCAATATACCCCCCATCTTTTTTGATGGTGGGTATAAAAATAATCCATGACTTAGTAATTTCAGATCTTTATAGACGGTTTAATTCCAAGTTATTGAAAAAATGTTCATGAAAGGTAATGTTTTTATTGATTCAAAACAATAAATAAATAAATTAATTAATTTTTAATTATTTTATTTTTTAGAAAGCAGTAGCTAATATTGTACCCCCTATTAAAATACTTCTAACCGAATTAAAATATAACAAGTAAGAGTGTTATATTCGGCTATGCCGAATCTTATATACCCACCATCAAACCTCGTTTGACTCAAACGAAACTTACTTTTGTCAAATTTCATCTATATACTCGTATATTTAGGCCAATTATAAGCGTTAAAGTAATTTTCTGAAGGGGATCTTATATAGGGGGTAGGGTCAATTATGGGTCGATCCTCATAAAATTTGGTAGACAGAATTTGGTTCGTATTAAATTTACTTGTGTCGAATTTCATCGCTACACTCGTATTTTTAAACCATTAATGAGCGTTGCAGTCATTTTCTGAAGGAGACCTTATATAGGGGGGGGTAGGGTCAATCATGGACCGATCCTCGTAACATTTTTTAGATAGATTTTGACTCGTATGAAACTTACTTATGTCAAATTTCATCTATATACTAGTATTTTTAAGCCAGTAATTAGCGTTAAAGTCATTTTCTGAAGGGGACCTTATATGGGGGGTAGGGTCAATTATGGACCGATCCTCATAAAATTTTGCACAGTGATTTTGGATCATAAGAAACTTACTTATGTCGAATTTCATCCCTATATTCGTATTTTTAAACAAGTTATGGCTGTTAAAGCTGCTTTTCGAGGGGCCACTTGTATGGGGGCTATCCGAAAACGTGGACCGATATTGCCCATTTTCAATACCAAACAAACCTTACCTATAAGAAATATTTATGTGAAATTTCAACCCTCTAGCTCTTTCCATTCGGACTCTATCGTGCTTTCAACAGACAGACAGACAGACAGACAGACAGACAGACAGACAGACAGACGGACGGACGGACGGACAGACGGACAGACATGGCTAGATCGTCTTAGAATTTAATGAGGACCCAGAATATATATACTTTTGTGGGTCTATGATCAATATTTCGATGTGTTACAAACGGAATGACAAAATCAATATACCCCCCATCTTTTTTGATGGTGGGTATAAAAAAGGGATCTGGTAAGTTATATATGTCTTATTTCATCACGTGGTTCCATTAAAAATGTCGATTATTTGCAGAAAATGTAAAAAATGGATCTGACCGTTTAAACTTTGGTGGTAAATGTATTGGACATGAGAGAATCCTATTTTTATTGCTTCCTAAAGTATAACTGGTAATTTCAATAAATATTCAATATTAATTATAAGATTATTTTGGTTTATTTCGTTGAAGGATTAATGCGTTCCATAATATAACTCTTACAATTTGATGGATTAATCATAAAATTGATGAAGAACTACAAAAATATTTTAGAGTCCAACGTTTTACAATTTTTGGAAGTATACCAGTCAGCAGTTGGAATATTAATACAGATTCCCTGAAAATTATCTTATTATAAGGTAATAATTCTAAATTTTTGATACATATGTACATTAGACCGACTCACTCTGTATGGAAAGCAAAAACGTGTTTTTGTTACCCCTCCCAAAATTTACCTTGCTTTGTTTTATGATGATTCCCAAAATATTTTAAGTGACCGCTGGACCAAATTTAAAAAAGTTATTTTGGAATTATTTTTTTAAAATTTTTGTTTGTTTTGAAACAAAATATCCAATACGGGTATCGTTTAAAAGGTATTTTAAAATCGCGTCCAATGATGTATTAATCATAAATAACCGTTTGCTTATAATTGTCATATTCCAAAATATTTAAAATTGTTAGGTTTTTACTAAGAAAAATGAAATATATGCACAATTTTGCAAATTTTGCGCACCACTAGACTTGGCTTCAAAAAACCTTTCAAATGATACCACATACTGTATATATTGTTTAAGAAATGCTGTATAATTTAAAACAAAATAACTAAAAAGGGACTTTTTTGTAACCGGTTCAGCTCACGAACGGCCATCGACAGACTAGAAATATTTTGGGAATCATTATAAAACATAACAAAGATTTTTTGAAGCTGGATAAAATATTGAATTTAACATGAAGAATCGTGTTCCCATACGATATTTTCTTTAAAACTGTCCAGCTCACGAATGGACAACACTTAAGCGAAAATATTTTCGGTCTAATGTACATATATTACTTTTTTTAGATTAGTTGTTAAATCAATTATATTTTCTACTATTTTAATTTCAATTAATTCAATAAAAACTATAAAATTTCATTTTATTTAGATTTATTTTTATAGATTTTATTTTGGTGAGTATACAAATAGAAAAAGAGAAAACTCATCTTCTAGAAGACGAGAATACTCATCTTCTAGAAGAAGAGAATATTCATCTTCAAGAAGAAGAGAATACTCTTCTTCTGGAAGAAGAGAAAACTCATCTTCTAGAAGAAGAGAAAACTCAACTTCTGGAAGATAAGATAGGAACACTTCTAGAGGATACTAGGTAGTCACTTCAAGAAGTGACTTCCTAGTCACATCTAGAAGAGTCTTTGGCAATACCTTACTTCCAAGAGTCATCTCGAAGTTTCTTCTGCGGGTCTTCCAGAAGTATCTTCCAAGTTACTCTTAGACGTTCCCCAGCTCGGCATCAGTTCTTCCCGACTGGTGACAAGAATTCTTATACTTCCGCAACATCGCTGGCGAGCTTTTAGCACGTTTGGAAGTTTCACACGGGTAACTTCCGCAATAGAAAATGTTTGTAGGGTGCTATTATCCTCAAATTTTCGCGAAAAAGTTTTGAAGTTTGGAGAGAGAATAAAATTTTTACATATGTGTTGGATTTACACAGCACTCGTCTGTGAGAAGAGCGTAATGTTATTGTTGTAAAAAAAATGACAGCGTTTCACTTCTTGTTTATTCTTTGCAGAAAACTATTACGATTGAAAATTTTATTTCAACAATTGATTGTTGTTGAAAATTGAGAAACGTTGTTATTAAAACACGTTTATTCTATTCAATATTCAAAGGACAAGTCAAGTCTTTTATTATAATTCAAATAGGGTTACTTATGAATATGGTTACAGGTAATTAGTAGGGCTACCAAATATATTGAAATTATGGCATATCCAATATATAACAGCTCTTCTCCTCTACAACTATTTCCTACTCTTTAATATAGTCATTCAACCAAGCTGTATTTTTTCTTACTCACGTTGGCCTTCGAGATAAATCACTATAGGTCATTTTTACCCTACACCACTATAGTGGGGAGGGTATTATACGTTTGTGCTGATGTTAGTTAGTTAGTTAGTTAGTTAGTTAACTGTTATTTAAAAATATATCCCTTTCCCAAATTTAATGAGAATTGGCCCATGTTTGACTTATACTCCTATATAAAGTCTCATTAGAAAACCCGAATTTCCCGAAAACACAATTAAATTTCCATAAAACTTTTTTATTTTCAGTATACTTTGCGAGAAAGAATACCTCACATATTTTCAGTAATATTTAGTTCAGGAGAGTATGGTGGCCAATCTAAAATGTTTACATTCTGGTTTTTAATCCACCCCCTTAACGACTCTAGCGGTATGGATCGGGACTTAATCCCGTTGAAATGTATGTACATTCAATGTTATCAGAATAATATGAAAAAGCTATTTCCAATATGGCTTTATAATTATTACCGTTCATTCTAAAGAAACTTAAGCTCACATGTTACATAATATGAAAGATCCATCACACTTCGCTCACAGTTATGCAGACGACTCGGATAACGCTCTTCCTTTAGCAAATCATGGAAATCATAAATATATCCAACTGGAACTTCCAAATTAAATTAAAATTCATCCGAAAAAAACAATATGTTGTCATTCCTTTTTAAAACCCATATATGGGATGATGAAACATATATGTTTAGGGGCAAACTCTAGGTGTTTTTTTTAATGTTTAATCTTTTCAAATGCTTGGCACTTCGTTTAATACGTTTTATTGTAGCTACGCTTGCTGTAACACCCGTTTTTTCTTTAATTTTTGCCGCAGAATCTGTTGAATTGGAGGCAGCTCTAATTATAGCTCTTCTGTCCGCTTCTGTTGTGGCTTTATGGGTACGACCTTTCATGTTTTTTCCGTATTCAGACTGTTTTCTTATAAAATTGCTAATAACATTCTGACTCCGCCCAATATTTTTTGCAATATTCCTATGACTTAAACCAGTTTCCAAAAACGCTTTAATTTTGACTTTTTCTTCTTCAGTTAAAGATTTACCGCGACCCATGTTTTTAAAAAATATTACAATATTCACAAATAGTAAAATTTAAATGGATTTTATCCAATGTCAATTGTAAATTGATTTTATTTTCAATGAACCTGATCAAGTGAGCTAAAATCTACAAGTGTTTTTTAGTGCAAAAACTAACTAACAAAAAAAAAAAAAAAATAATAATAAAATAATAAATTAAAATTATTTTAATTTGTGTTTATTTTTTTCTTTTTATAAAAGAAATATGTATAACTTTATTTAAACTTAAATGGTTACAAAACAAAATATTTTTAGTAAATCTTTTTTCACAATTCAATAAAATGCATTTTCATACATAAAACATCAAATGATTTATTTTAAACCTAAATCTTTTTCGATGGTATGAGAACACACAGCCATCATTTGATCTTTAACACGTTCAAAGTTTTCCACAGCCTTAGGTTTGGCTTCAGGCCATTGAGCTAAATCACGATAAATTGGACGACAGAATTTCATGCGGAAGTTAGAGTTGGCAAAGGCAATAATCTCGTCCAAGCGATTTATTAATTTAGCCATTATGCACAAACGCATAACACGGAAGCGAACTTCAGCATTTTGAGTGTTCTTCAAGTTGTAAATAGATTCCAACAATTCAATTTTCTTTTCAGACAAATCATTGATTTGCTTGCATTCAATTAATTTGCCCAAGAAATCAATTAGTTGATGTGTGGAAATAGTTTGTTTAACATCGGCATTATTTGCCAATTCATCGGCGGTTTTAGTGCTCCACAAAGTAGCCAACTGTTTGGAAACATTAGCCAAGGTTTCATCGAATCTTTAAAAAGTTAAAAGTTATTAACAAAAATATATAAAATGTATAAAGTCATAAACACTTACTTGGGTATAATTGGTGGCATACCCTCACATGTTAACCAAAGATCCCAATCGATTTCATTAAGTTTATCCTTTTTATCGGTGTCAATGAAATAATCATACAAGGCCGATTTGAAATCATCGGTGACCACAGACTTGTAAGAAAATTTCTTCAAATAGGAACGCAAGAAGGGCTCGAATACTTCGGGTCCTCCAAACAAGTCCTCAATGTAGCGCAAGAAGGTAGAACCTTTAATGTAAGGCACACTGGAAAAGGCATCATCAGGACCACAGTTGGACAAGTCGACAACAAGTTTTGTCAAATCGGGGCTATTGGCCAATTGAGTACGAAGCTTTAAAAATAAATTATTCAAATGATTATAACAATGCAAACTTATTGTTATCAATCTTACTTACACATTCTTGTAAGTCAGTCAAGTTGCGGATCATGTGGAAATCACGCTCTTTCAAACCTTGCATACGTCCAACAATTTTTGTCTCTACGAAAACGGTGAAACCTTCATTCAACCAGAAATGTTCAAAGTTTTTGTTGGTCACCAAATTGCCAGTCCAGCTGTGAGCAATTTCATGAGCCACCACATCAGCCAAAGACTTGTCACCAGCCAACAGGGTAGGTGTAACAAAAGTTAAACAAGGGTTCTCCATACCACCGAAGGGGAAAGAAGGTGGCATAACCAATAGATCATATTGTTTCCATACATAAGGTCCACAGATGTCAGCAGCAGTTTTCAACATTTCCGATGTTTGTGAGAATTCTTCAGCGCAGGCATCAATTATTCCTTGTTCAGCCCAGACATTAGAGTTAGGGCCCAAAGGTTTGGAAACCAATCTACCAATGGCAATAGCTAAGAGATAAGCTGGTATGGGTACCTCCTGCTTGAAAGTGGTCACGCCGTCTTCTTTCTTAGCAACAAGAGCACTCATTAGAGCAGTCAATTCCTTGGGATGTTCTACGGTGGCTTCGTAGGTGAATTTAACAGCAGGAGTGTCTTGACAAGGCATAATTGAACGGGCATGAATTGCTTGACATTGACTGAACATATAGGGATGTTGTTTGCCCAAAGTTTGTTCGGGATTCAGCCATTGAAGACCACTGGCATTGCTGGCTGTTTCATAATCGATGCGTACGAATAAACTGGAAATATAAAATGTATAATTTGTTATTTTTACAAGCTTTCAAATCCTACTTTATATTAAAAACTTAAAATTGAACACTTAGCACCTCGCTACAGTACTGATTAGGTATCTTTAGTGATAAATGGATCTTGTAATTTACAAGTTGTAAAGTTGGCAAGTTCCTTTTTACACTACGTCTATGGGTTTTACTATTTACTTTTTTGTCACAAATTATCTGTGATAGAAAAATTTATTATTTTAAATAATCTTTGAGATTATAAATATTATAAAAATCTTAAAAACATTCAATTGTTTTTATAGATAAAAACCACAGAAATTTTCTTAAGATAGATAAGACTTAATAATCAGTAAAGTGTTATCTGAATGAAACCAGAAAGAAAGTACAGACAGGCCCTAAGATACCCTACAATGGATATTAGTGTATTTTAATTAACTTTCGGAATGAATAGTTGCAGTCTTTTTAAATTATGAACTAATGTTTAAGATTTATAAGTTTTATGTGTAAATAATACTAAACTAATGAATTACGAGTTTTGTGTATTGCTGATGTACTATTTCTATGGGAAAATGAGGCAACTTTTGCTGTATTATTAACATATTAATAAGTGTTCAAATCATTCCCGTTTTCATACTTACTCTCCAGTAGCTGTACCCTGTGGTAATTCCAAAGTAAGTTTAGCACCAATATCATCAACAGGATCGCTAACAAAGTGATTCAATGGAATAGAAGATTTTCCAGAAACAATTTCAGCATTCAAAACTTTAACATCACGTACATCCAACAACTGCAATAATAAAGAAATTTAAGGACTAAGCGCAAAGGCAATTTGGAAAGCGAACAACTTACAATAGCAGGCAAATCCTTTTCCAACACATTAAAACGATGGGTAACTGAACCCTTCAACTTGGTGTTTTCAAAATCTACCTTCCAGCTCAAGACACTGTGTTGTGTGGTAATCAATTCTGGTTGGGAGTAAGAACTTGGATCAATTTTACCTAGACGACCCATTTTGCGTTGACTCTGTAGCGAATACAATGGAATTGTTTGTTGGAACCTTCTGGTATTAGCTGACGCTGGCGCTGTTGATGACGACGATGCAAATAGATGTTGTGTACTCAGAGTACGTGTTGAAACTGAGGGAAAAAATGTGGAAAAAAGTTAAAACACTTGTACAACACAATTACTTCTTACTGATATCAGATTATCAATGGTTATATGCTTATACTATCGAATTAATCTTATCGCCACAATGCATTACTTTAAATTAAAAGTTGGTCGGTATGTGTGGCTACTGTGGTAAATCAAAATATTTATTAAAATTATGGATCGTGGTCAATTATTGTGCTGGTTGGTAGCAACAAGTATTTTCTTTTACTATAAATTTGAGGCACTGTATCACAAATTATACACGGGAGTGTTATACAATTGTTGGTTTTTATTTAGAACAAAAAGAAAACAAAACTCTGTTGGTGTATTATTTGAGTGGGTGGATTTTGTCACCTTTTTATTGTGTTAAATAAATAAACTTTTTACTTTCTTACCGGCAAATAAAATAAATTGCTTGTAAATTGCAACTCAATTCACTTGATAATGACATCAACAAAAACTAAAAAACATTAACCTAAATGATGAATATTCTGGCAACACTGCCCACTGAAATTTGCAAAAACAAAGCTGTTGCCAGATAAATTAGATTACGAGTAAAGGGATTTTAGCAAATCGCCAATTTGCAAGTTTGACTGGAAGGAAGAAGAGATACCTACTTATTGGATGAAATTTCTACATTGCTTCTAATTAAGTATTATAAATGTGAGAAATTGGATACAAATAGGTATACAATATTCGATAATACTTTTTATAGCTCCAAAACTTCAAATTAAACGTTTTGTATAAATTCACATAGACAAAATTTAAGAACATACCTATAACATATAGTATACATATGTTATGGAAGATTTTGGGAATGTAAGATAAATATTTTAAAGAGTGTTACAAAAGAATATGAAATGACGCGTTACGTAGAAGTAAAATTTCTTATAGCGGGTTTTAACATTACGACCATTATATCCATATTCTTTATTGTTACATACATATCTGATAATTTTCTAAAAATTAGTACAATTTTTGCTTCATTAATAGCATAGATTTTTAACTATCACTGATAATTATTTATGCAGAAATGAGTATATTTAAAAACAAGTTAGGCTATGCCGAATCTTATATACCCTTCACCTAAAAGTCAGTTTCTTCTTAACACGTCGAATATTTATAGAAATTTACAATTTATAATTTTGAAAGCTTAAATAATAAATAAATAATCCGAAAAAAAGTGGGGGTCGATTTGTACGATAAGTACATGTGTACAAAATTTATAAGTATATAGAATCTTATCCCAATATTATTACTTCATGAGTTATTTACGTTTAAGTGATTTTCAGAAGAGGGTTTTATATAAGATATATGACCAATTATGGGCTGATCCGGAAAAAATTTCGCTGAATTTGTGTTTGTATACAACATATTCGTGTTAAATTTTGTTCCAATTGTTATTTCTTAATGAAGTGGACCTTACATGGGAGCTATGGGATAATTATGGAATGATTTTTGTAAATAAAACTATTTTTATTGTTGTTGGATTTATGTATATGCAAAGTTTTTTATACTCTAGTTATTTAAGAGGGAGCTATTAACAGTAAATACATTTTCTGGGAACCTAACCTATGGGGGATATATGAAGTTTATATGTGACAATTTTTTTTTAATTAGCTGCAGTTTTTGAAAAAGATAATATGGAATGAGAGAAAAAACGTAATATTTTCATGGGTTGTTTCAGAATTTTGTTAATATCTATGTTATTAATGGACCGATTTTGCTAATTTTAAATAGGAAACTTCTGGAAAGTATATCTGGTTAAATAATGTTGTGGAAATCACAAATTACAAAATATACTCGATTAGGAATGTTCTTAATGGTTTATTACTGCAATCTTCTTTCTTCGAAAAAGAGCACAAAAAGATAAATATCTCCAATCCTCTTGATACATATTTGAATATTTTCTTAAATAATCTGCAAGACTTTTTAATTCTGAGTAGGAATAGGTAAAAAATAGTTTTCGCTGTTTTTTTTATGTGAAAAAATGCATTTTTAGCGAAGGCAGTGTTGTTCCAAAGGAAAAGACGATGTCAAAAGCAAAATAAATTTTCACATAAAATCTGTAGTCATCTTCATGAGCTCCAAAGTTTATTAAGTTTAGGAAAATAATACAAATTTTGTCCTGGGCTATATCTCAGTTTTACCGTATCTAGACGTATTTAGCGGTACACTCAAGCTTCGTTTAATGCGAATTCAAATTTATGCGGTTTAAAAATTCGCAAATCCTCTCTTTGATTTGAGAAAGTATTGAACCATTCATATTCAAAAAATCTGATGTTCTTAAAAATATACTACATATATAAAAAATATACCTTATATGGATCCCCACACGGAAATAGCATTAGAGCTGCAATGATAATTTGATGATATTTGTTCAGAATACCAAGAGTTACATCAACAACCATGGAATAAAAAATACTAATATTTTTTATACCATGGTATAAAATATAAAATATGGTATAAAAAATAATTTACCAATCCCGATACTAATATTCTAGTTAATTTAAAAAACGTAAGAAAACTGTTCAGTTTCACTTGTCTTAACAAAACACTTTTCAACAAATTTATTAAAGTTTAACGCCAAGCGAATTAATAATTTACCAATCCCGATACTAATATTCTAGTTAATTTAAAAAACGTATTTAAAGAAAACTGTTCAGTTTCACTTGTCTTAACAAAACACTTTTCAACAAATTTATTAAAGTTTAACGTAAAATATAATCTTTTGGATAATCCATAATTGAAGGGAAATTTTCCAAGGTTTCCTTGTCGATATGATCCAAACGTTGTGGCACTTCACGTGGTGTTCTAATTTGATTTGTTACATTTGCCAAAATTTCCTCAGGAACATTATCATCGGCAAATAAATGAAGCCTCTGCATAGTGTGACGACGTTGAAGATTGCCTTTCATTGAATTATAGACAGCTTTGTGCATCACCATAGTGGGATCTTTATCATGCAATTGCCAGGCGAGAGTCCAACTGGCACCGCCAGGATAACCCGTGTGATGGAAGTATACACGTTTAACCCATTCATCGCCAGGCAAAGCGATTTCCTTTGTATTAATAACAACCACATGGTCACCGCAATCATCTGCAAAAGGAAATGAGAAAATATTAAAGAATTTACAAAAAACTTTGGGTATTTACCATTAATCTTGTGATTTTTTTTAATTCAATGCAACACTATTTACAGACTTTGTATGACTCTTATAAATAAACTAGAGAGGATTTGAATTATAACTTACTCATTGGATGGTAGATAGGTTTTTGTAGGCCTTGCAGGTGTCTGGAAATCAATTTAGCTGAATCGAATGGGTTTTGCCAGGTGCAATCATAGATGTGCCATGTTCTGGCGAATGTAGCCCATTGCTAAATGTGTTGTAAAGGAATTTATTTATTAAAGTAATGTTTTTTTTTTTGTATTTGAATAGTTCACCCACCTGCACACGTTTTGCAATAGACATTTTGTTTTTAATTTAAAATTTTTACAAAATAATTTATTAAATAACTTTCGGCAATTCACAACAGAGCCCTGCGCCGACAAATATTAACGACGGCGGCGACTGACACTAAATATGTCGGCGGCGGCTTAAAATCGACTGTAAGCCGGCTTAGTTTTCAACTACGTTTAGTTTTTAAATTTTCAACTATTTTAAATAAAAACGGAATCCGAGAGATCAGAAAAAGGGATTTTGGAAGCAAATATATTGTTTATAACAACAAAAAGAGCAAGCACAAAAGTTGTGTGAGAAATTATGCAGGGATGGATAAAAGTGTATTTCAATACTGCTTATTGGTTATTGTGTGACAATTATAAGGGATCTAAAGTCGACATAAAGCCCACAATGGTTAGTACCAATTTTTTGACCAAGCAACCTAGCCAGGCTATATCCTCTAAGTTCGTGAAAACATTCTCTACAAAGCTATAAATTTGTATAAAAAGCGGCTTAACAATTGTTTCTTGTAAATATTCGGCCACCATACTGTTTGGAGACAAATTTATTATGCTAAACGTCAAATTGTTATCATAATAAACAATTAGCGGGTACAGACGGCATTTATTAGCGTTATAAAGTCGTTATGACAGTGTTGTCTAAACAATTGTTTAGACAACGTTGTCTTGATAACAAACGTCATTTATTGTAAAATTTGTTTACAATTTTGTTTTTGTGCAATTAAAATTGATTTTTAACATTAGTTTTAGTGAAATTAGTGTTTATTTACAAAATTTGCATTTAATTTTAATTGGTTTTATAAAATATAGAATTATTTCAATAAAATTATCTGTGAGTTGTCGTGATAAAATCAACGTTTTGTTACTCTTATGAATTAACATAAACAAAAAACTGACAATTTTTCTGCCTACGTTTTGTCAAGTGCCGTGATAAATATTTGTTTAATATAGACACAGGTTACGTAGCTGTCAAAGTTTGTTATTGTTTACATCTATTTCAAAATTACCGAGAATTTTTTTTAGTATTTTGAATTATTTATGTAAAAATGTGAAATATTTTATTTAAATTATGGCATAATTCAACGTAAACCAAATGCAAAAACAAAATACATACATGGAAAAATTTGTTTTTGCAGAACTGCTACAACCTTATGTGAATTCGCCTTGGACATTGTGGATAATTAAGTGATTGCGATTTGTAAATTTAGGTAAATTTTAGCGATTTGTACAGTGTCGCCAGATGTGGGGATTTGTCCCCAAATTGGGGATTTCAACTTTTATTTGGGGACCGATTTTCGTGGGGAAGGATTTGGGGATTTTCGTAAAATTTGGGGATTTTTTATAATTTTTGGGGATTTTTATATTTTTTTTTATAAATATTAACAATTATTTTTTTAGTTTTTAGTTTAGTTTTTTTATATAAGGGTATTTAAAACTGGGTTCGCACCTTACCCTCTCCGATTTGGAGAGATTTTGTTATCATACTCTTTGAATAAATACAAAATTCAAAGTTTTAAAAAATTTTCAAAATCGTTAATTTTTAGATTATTACGAAATTTTTGCTCAAAGGCAGAAAAATTTTTTCTCAAACTCATGAAGTTAAGTATCGTATAATTTCTGAACAAATTGTTCGATTTTATAAATCTCGGTCTCAAATTTATGGTTATGTGTCCTAGCTTGAAAATTTTTGTTTTTAAATAAGGACAATAAATTCAAAAACATATTTGAGTTAAGTATATCTCAAAAAAGGTATCTTCGATTTTACTTTTTTTGTTCGAAATTTTTAATTCCTTTTGTTCATCAAAGATAAAAGTTTTAAATTGGCGATCCCCATGGTCCTATTCAGATTTTTGTATATGTTGTCGCTGACATTATTACCTAATTTTAGTATAGAATTATAAAAACTAAAAAATTAATTTTTAAGATATCTATGGTCAATAATTGTTTTTGAATTTGTTATCCTATAACACCGTTCAACAGCATTTATTGGACATAAACGAGACCATATATACATGATACTAGTGGTCTTACAAAGTAAAACTGTGTTTTCAGTTTTTCATTTTCTGATCATTTCTCTTTTTTAAAGTACTTGAAATTTTAAGGATATAAAAATGTATTAAAAAAATATTTCTATCAAATAGTTTTCATCAATATGGGTATCAAATAGGGTGATCAATTATACTTTTGCTGCTTAAAATACAAATAAAATATGTGAAATAATTAGGAAAATAAAAAAAAAATAACAAAAGCTCCTTTTTTAAAATATACTCTAGTCCCTAAACTCCAACATTCTTCAAATTTTGTAGGACAGTATTATTATTTACTTCAAAATTTGATGTAAGTGTCCCCTATGTATTCAAATAGCAAATAAAAGTATTCGAAACCATTTTTTTTAAGTAAAAAAACGGGTTATTCGATATTCGAAATCAACATTTAGAAAAAAACCGACAGTAGTAAAACAGAAAAAATCCGAGTCGATCACCCTAGTATCAAATGAAAGAGGATAACCTATGGAAAACAAAACTATATTTTGTTTTTACTTTTCAGGACAAAAAAGTGTAAATAATGTCTTTTAAAAATTCATCCTTTATATCCTTGAGAATATGGGCATCAAATTAAAGAGGAGGATCTCTGGAAATTAAAAATATATTGTTTTTATTTTGAAAGTTGAAAGAGGGGCAAATATGGACCAAACCCGATAAAGTTTTGTGAATGTATTTATATTTATATAATATTTATTGAAGTAATTTTCTGAAGGGGCTAGGGTCAAATGGGGTCCGATATCTATGAAATTTGGCAAGGTCATCAAGACTTGTATAAAACTTAGTTGTGCCGCTTTTGATCAATATACAGGAATATTTAACATAATTATGAGCTCAGAAGCCCTTTTCGGGGGGTTCTGTTGTATGGGGGCTAGGTGAAATAATGGACCGATTTTAACCATTTTCAATAGGCTTCGTCCTTGGGTGTGTCAAAATTCATCCATTATCTTGAAAATTGCGACCTGTACCTGACGCACAAGGTTTACATGGACAGCCAGCCAACCAGCCGGACGGACATGGCCAATATTTTTGTGCGTTGCAAACAACCCTAGGGTATAAATACTATCAATTTTATAATTTCATCCTTTATATGGAAGGCTAACATTTTAAAATGATATTGCTATTTTCAGAGACGTCCTACTTAATGTGACGGCCATGAACACAAGGATATAAATATTTGAATAAATTAAAAAAATCCTTGAAAGTTTAAAGTCCTTCAAAAAGGAAAAATGATCAGAAAACTAATTATATAGTTTTTCTGTATACGATCTCTACTTTCACTCGTATTTGGTTTTGTTCCAGTCCAAAAAGTAATGTTCAATATTTTACTCATATTTATTTTCTTATTTATCAAGAAAATATTTTTTGCATATTAGAGTAATAATATATTTTTTTACGGCTTACATAATAAAGCTATAGAAACAAATTTTAACCTATATTTAACATTTTAAAAGGATATTAATTAAAATTTTTCGTCCTGAAAAATAAAAACAAAAATTATATTTGATTTCCGGAGATTGTCCTCTTTCATTTGATACCCATTCGGACTAAAACTATTTAGTAAATATATTTTATTAAATTTGTATATCCTTAAAACTTCGAAGTACTTTTCACTATAAATGACCTCTAGCAACGTTCAATTCCAATAAAAAATGTAAAATGGTTTTACGGTGTAACAATACAATTTTTTTTTAAATTTCCAAACTAGAAACGTAACTATTAATTTAAAACTAAGAATAATAAAATCGGATATGTAGTTTAGAAAATATGCGATATTAAACTTCATTCTTCAAAAATATATATATGTACATAAATTTTGGACTACGATAAAACGTAACGAATTTGAGAATTTTGGAGAACTTAATGCAAAGAACGTATATTCGAAATTGCATTTTTTGTTCAAAATTTTTAAAAATTATCATTATTGATATAAACATCAGGAAGGTTTTCGGAATAGGTCTTTTAATTAATTTCCTAAAACAAATCATTTTTGTTAAATGTTATCTTTGCCATGTCCGTCTGTGCGACTGTTGAAATTCATCAAAATCCGTCCATAAATAAGGGAGATATGAGCAAAAATCAGATACGACCTCTGAAAATTGCATCATGATTACGATTGCTGCTGTATTAATATATACATGGCTGTTTTAACTGTATTCCGGGGGCCTATTTTGAATCAAATTCCGAAATTTCTCTTTTTAAAAATCAAACAGTTCCTATCAATGGAAAATATTTGTATCGGACGGAATTAAGAGTTTTTCATGAACAAATTTTGGGGAAAATTATAGGGAATTCAATTTAAAAATGGGGATTTTTTGGGGACAACAAGCTTAAGATTGGGGACATGAGATAAAATTTTTCTGGCAACACTGGATTTGTAGAAAACTAAAATATTTCATTTTTTTGTTCATAGGTGGCACTTTTGACACTATATTGTAAAAGATTACTGCTATTAATTTTAAATTTACGCAAAGAAGTATGCTGTTAACAATTCACCAACAATAATGATTATCAGTGTTGCCAGAAAAATTTTTACTAAAAGTGATATTATATTCTGCTGTATATATATATATATATATACATACCCTGCATAAATTAATGGAGTACATGGTCCATTTTTGTAATCCCAAAACTACTCCCTTGAGATTTTTATGTCTTTTTCATATTTCTTACAAAGAAAATCAACGCGATTTTGGTAACTCATGAAAGGTCTTCTAAATGCGCTCTTAATGACATATCAAACAATCAAATATGTACATTAGGGTGGCCCCGTTTGTATGGAGGAAAAATAAGGCGTCAATGTTCCCAACTAAAATTAATGTTTAATTGATTTTAAGATACCGTTTTTCGAAATTTTTGTTCTGGCGTCAATATCTGGTGAGCTAGATCAAAGGATAAAAAGCTCTTTTTTCAGGTTTTTATGATTTTTAATATTTCTTCCAAAGGAAAGATATAAAATCTTGGTATCATTAGAAATGTGCCTGAAAGACGCTTTAAATTGCATATCAGAAATTTTTGTGCTGACATTCCCCTATAACTGACCCTATTCCAACTTCAGAAAATGACTTTAACGCTCACATCTGGCCTACAAGTACAAGTATAGCAGTGATTTTCGACGGAAACAAGTTCTACTGGAACATGAATTTGATAAGGATTGGATCCATATAAGGTCCCCTTCAAAAATTGACTTTAACGCTCATTACTAGCTGCGATGAAATTCTACCCTGCATATAAGCTCCTCTTCAAAAAATTACTTTCTCGGTCAAAACTGGCTTAAAATATACAGTGGTTGTCAGCTTATTTGATGCAAGCTAATCTAAAATACTTAAATCAGTATAACTCATAAATTAATAGAACTATTAAAAAGAAACAAAACGCACTTTAATTGCTAACATGGTCCCTTAAAAAAAACAATTTTTTTTAAAATTTTTTTTTGTTGTAAAATATGAAAAAAAAACAAAAACAAAAAATGCGCTTTTTTCATCGCTCAGCTTATTTGATGCAAAAAAAACTTTAACTGTAGTAATACAGTTATATTAAAAAAACAACTTGGTTTACATTATGCTGACATTATCTACTAAGGTTTGCATAATTTTAGTATTTTTTTGGAGTTTGAAAGTAATAAACAGATTTTATTGATCATGGGTCGGCGTACAACAATAGAACAAAGAGAATTGGTTATCCATCATTATAAAACTGGAAAAACTCAGCGTAAAATAGCAGAAATAGTGAATTTGTCTTCATCTACAGTCCAACACATAATAGAGCGCTATACAAAGGAGAACAGAATTGAAAATAAGGGCAGATCTGCTCCTAATTTTCTCCGCAAGTGATGAACGTTGGATAATAAGAAAAATTAAGGAAAACCCAAAATTATCGGCACAAAAAATAGCTGATGAAGTGGGCAAAGGTATTGGGAAGATGTGTAGTGCATCAACAATTCGGCGTGTTTTACGTTCACATGACTTTCATGGCAGAGTACCACTGAAGAAGCCATTTATTAGCCCAAAAAATAAAAGTTCTCGATTAGCGTTCGCAAAATCCCACATTTCCAAAGGTCCAGACTTTTGGAATACGGTCATATTTTCAGATGAGTCTAAATTTAATATCTTTGGCTCCGATGGAAGATCTTATGTTTGGCGGAAACCAAATACTCAGCTTCAATCAAAAAATCTTTCCGCGACCGTTAAACATGGCGGAGGAAGCGTTATGGTGTGGGCTTGTATGGCCGCAACGGGTGTTGGAAATTTAGTTTTCATAGAAGGAAATATGGATAAAACAATGTACTTGAATATTCTTAAAGAAAATTTGATTCAAAGTGCAGAAAAATTGGGTCTGAGGGACAACTTCCGATTCTATCAAGATAACGACCCAAAGCATAAATCTAATATGGTTCAAACCTGGCTCATATGGAACTGTCCCCATTTGATGGAACCACCTGCACAGTCTCCGGACTTGAACGTAATCGAAAATTTATGGGCGTTATTAGAAACTAATATAAGAAATCATAACATTTCAAGCAAGGAATTGTTAAAAAAAGCGTTACTAGAAGAGTGGAACAAAATAACTGCAGAAACCACACAAAAACTGGTTAACTCAGTGCCAAATCGACTGAAAGCGGTTTTAGACCAAAAAGGCTACCATACTAAATATTAATTAAAGCAATATAGACAAAAACCACTGTTATTTTTTATTAACAACGTTTTGCATCAAATAAGCTGCTTAAGTTAAAAATGGAGTTTTTTTTGTTTTTTCTAATTTTTCTTTAAGATAGTATAAAATATGAAATAAATGAATTAATTAATCGAAATTGGAATAGTTCTTAATAAACTGGGCTTTTAATTTTTTTAAAAAACCGAAATAGTTATAGAGTTACATGAATTTTAATACAATGATTTTACTTGCATCAAATAAGCTGACAACCACTGTAGCTATGAAACTTTATATGAACAAGTTTTGTGCGAACTAAAATCTATAAGAATTAGTCTATAATTGAACCAATTTCTCATGGATCGGTCCTTATTGGATTCAAGAAACCATACTTTTTTTTAGAATTTTCTATAACATTAAACATAGAAATATAAAATTAAGCATGTATAGCCCGAAGTAAATGAGAACCTATAAAAGGGGGACTTTTTGGTACTTTTTCGTTCTACAAAAGGTCCTTTTGAATTTAGGTACTTTATGGTTTTTTAACTGCTACTATTTGTATATTTGTATAATATTGAACCTAGAAACATGATATTAAGCATGTAGAGCCCGGAGTAAGTGTGAACCTACATATAAAAGACTATTTTTTAGTACTTTTTCGTTATTCAAAAAGTACTTTTTGAATTTTCTATAATATTGAAACTAGAAACATGAAATTAAGCATGTAGAGTACGGAGCAAGTGAGAACTTATAAAAGACGACTTTTTGCTACTTTTTCATTCTTCAAAAAGTACTTTTTGAGTTTTCTATGACATTAAACCTAGAAATATGAAATTAAGCATGTTGAGCCCGGAGTAAGTGAGAACTTACATATAAAATGGGACATTTTGGTACTTTTTCGTTCTTCAAATGGTACTTTTAGAATTTGAGAACCTATAAAATGGGACTTTTTGATAATATTTCCTTCCTTAAAAGGTGCTCTTTCGTTTTTCTAGAGGTACTTTTTGAAATTCCTATAATATTGAACCTAAAAATATAACATTAAGCATGTAGAGTCCGCAGTAAATAAAAGGGGAGTTTTTGGTACTTTTTCCTTCTCAAAAGGTACTTTTTGAAAGTTTTATAATATAGAACCTAGAAACATAAACATTTAGAGTTCCAAGTAATTTTTTGTTCTTTAACTAAAATAAAACTCTTCAAATTTCTGTTAATATAGTTTTTTATTACTTTTTTTGTTTAAATTTTCAAACATTTTCTATGAATACTAAAAATTAATTTGTTTTTCATTTGTCAGAAATGAAGTTAAAAATACAGAGTTTAAGTTTTTTTATTTGTTTTATTTTTTACATAACTATGAATATATAAACATTTGTTTTATTTTTTTCTTCTTGTAGTACTTATTTACTTAAATCTCTAATTAAATTAATAATAAGAATAATAATTTGCAATAATAAATCAATACGAATAACTGAAAAGAAAAAAAATTAAAATGAAAGAAAAACAATAATAATAATAATAATTTTACATAATACTATTTTACAATTTTGTTTATTTATTTAATTTGTTTTTTATTTAATAATTACTATAAGATTCTTTTGTTTAGATTAAGTCAAGTTAGTTGTTGTTTTTTATTAATTATTTTTTATATATAATACACAATTAGTTTGTTTTTCTTACAATGAATACGTCTATATAGTACATATGTATGTTTGTTTGTTTGTTTTATGTTTATTTTGGTTTGAATTCATTATAATTAGAAAAACATATGGGGAGATGATTTTAACTTTGGGATTTATTTTATCAATTAATAAACGAAAACAGTTAAAATGTTAAACACAAAACGAAAATAAGTTTCGAAAATATTTACATTCAAATATGACGTTTTTTTATTGATATAAATATGTATAGATTTAATAATAACTTTACAAATTCATTTTATTAAAGGAAAAAATATTTTTAACTTTTTAAGTGAGTGAGCATTTTTGTATTCATTTTTAACGTTTTTTTTTTAGTTATTTTTTAACAAAATAATAATTTGTTTATTAAAAAAATTGTTTATACATTTTATTTAACAGTCGCAGGATTTGTTTTGAATAGTTTTTGTTTATCAATTTCAAATCCTTTTTCTGTAAGGTTTTATTTGCAATAGTTTGCTTAAATTTTTAGAAAGTTATGGGAGATTTGATTAAAATTATAGATTTCAAATGCTAAGCTTTTCAAAAATGTTGAAGTGCTAAAGTTTAGTCAAATAAATTTCTTAAAAATCGAACAGCAAATGTGAGTGTCTACGTCTTTTGAAATTTTCAATAAACTTTCACAACTTTCTAACTCCATTTAAACAAAAACAATTACAATTTACAAACATAAAATGTTAAAACAACAATATTCAAGTCTAAATTTAAATGTCCCTAATTATTTTTTATTTTGTTTCTTTATTTGTTTGTTATCATTTTTCCTTGTTTTTAACTAATTCAACTTTCTTAATTTCCTCTAATATTTCAAATATTAAATTTTTGGTACAATTTTTGAGGTTAGATTTCAAATAGAAATTGAAAATAAACAACATTTTCAATCTCACGACGAAGAGAAGGAGAGTGTGTGAGAAAAGAGGATGATTTGCAGAAGAAATTCTGTATTTCTATTATAAGTTGTGGGTTGTATTGCACAGGCCCTGATTTTGAACGTCAATGACACATTCAACGATTTGATAGCACTCCGGTTGGATGTGTAAAGTGGCTCAATGGATGCTGCTGTTGTTGTGATGAATGTGCTGGTGGTGGGGGAGTTGTTGTACCGCCAGTTACTTTCTGTAGCATCTGTATCAATTGCTCCGTGGCCGAAGGCATTTGTATTGAAGTTGAGTTGCCGCAAATGTCACTTGGTCTATTATTGCCATTGTGGTTTAAAGCGGCAAACCCAATAGAGGTTGTTGTTGTAGGCGGTGATGATATGGATGTGGCGGCTGAAGTTGAGGCCGACAATGCTGCTGCTGATGATGCACAATTAGAGGTGGACGAGGACGAGGTGGATGATGTTGATGATGGTGTCAACATTAGTTTGGTTTCTGTTTGTGAAGCAACAAAAGAAGCACATTAGATACTTTTGCATTCGTTTTTCTACGGACTGCCAGGCATACTATCTTCACTCTCCAGATAGGTCACATAGGAATCTGTACTGTCCGGATGATGGTGTGAGGTAATTCCTGAGTCCATACTACCACCGGGTGGCCCATTCATTTGTTGACCTGGTGGCGGCGGGTGTGGTCCCTGTTGATGGGGCTGCAAGGGAGGCATACCATTCAAATCATAACCATGCATCTGTAATGGAATCGAAGAAATACAAATTATTTGATTGTAATTAAAGGATAAAAAAATATAAGAGTCGTAAATAGATTTATCAGCTGATCCAGAGAAATTTGTCGAAGTACGTAGTGTAGAAACAAAAGCAGTTATCTTCATGTTATGAATGCCCTCAACCAAGAATCATGGACCATAATTGTATATATCTATAAAAACGCAGGGTTTTCCTATTTATTTCAAAAACCACAACAATGGAGATTGCTGCTTTTGTTTCTAAAACCCTCAAATTATACAGTTTCTGAATAATCAATGATCACAAATAGAAATATCGTTTATAGGTAAAACGTTAAAGGGCAGACGTTTTCCTTAAACCCACCTGATTGACTAGTTGTTGAAATGCTGGTGTATGAGTGTTAATGGCACCATTGCTATCGAGATCGGCATGGAGGGCAAAGTCAGACAAAGCTTTCCATGGCGGTTGATATGTTTGCACATCGATGCCCTGCAGGTTCAAAGGTGAATCATGCCGAACCGGGGAACTGGCTATCATAGGAATACCCTGCATAGCACCATAGCCCAGTTTGCGACCCTCCTACAAAGATCAAAAGTTGAAAAAATATTATTAAATTTATATAAAAAAACAAAAACATTTGAATATTTATTTAAATGCTAGCCGACATAAATATAAAAACTAATTAATGCAAACATATATACATATTAATTAATACACTTCCGTATTTTAATTATAAATATTTGAAATTAAAGTTCATTTACCTTTTCCTGTTGCATTTGCAATTTCATTTGTATGGTTTTCTTTTTATCTTTACAGCGTTTATTTTGAAACCACACACGTATGACGCGTGGTGAAAGACCGGTCATTTCTACCAGTTGCTCTTTCATGAGCGCATCAGGTCGCGGATTAGCATTATAGCAGGTTCTAAAAATTAATGAAAAGTAAAAATCAAATTAGTTTTATTGAAAAGAATCCCGCTGAATATGTTTAAAACTTACCTTAATGTATGTAATTGCTTTTCGTTGAGCACCGTTCTTACTCTGGTTGGTTTACCATCCGATGGTCCCGATGGTCGTTTTTCCCTAATACTTTTATGTGAGCCCGATTCGCTGCCAGAATCTAGAAAAAATCAAAAACCAAAAAAATCTACATTTTAATCATGCTGGCTTTTAAATAAACTATTTCAATTTTATAGTAACAAAAACAGAAACAACAACAGCATCAAAGTACATATTCAAAAAATCAATCAATAAATTCTAAAATTAAAATTTTTTTGGTGTGCTTCATTGTATGTGGCATCAACAATACACATGTTGATAAATTGTTTTTCTTCCTGACGCCAAAAAACGTTCTGCAATTTTCACTGCGCTTGTAATGGTAATGTTGTAGTCAAACTTCAAAGTGAATTCCAACTGTCAGACAAACAAGTGAATATTGTGTTTTTGTCGATATGAAAAAGATCAATTGCTGCTACGACTCTTTTTGTTGTTCTGGAGAACTTTAAGGTATTTTCCTTAAGGGAAATTTGTGTTTTATTTATTTTAAAATTTTTCTTTAAATTCTTGTGATATAATATCAACGGAGTTAAAGCAGTGTTGGACACACAAATATTGTAACAATATATATGAAAGTAAGTATTGCAAAATTCCCATCGCTGGCTTAAATTATGTATTGAATATCTACTCAGTGTTCCTCTTGTAATTTTGCTATTGCAAAAATGTTATTGATTGTAATCTTTTTTTCCTCTTTTTAAATTTTATCTTTATTTAGTTATTTTTTTATTATTTATTTCAAAACAATCAAAAAACATTGTTAATTAAGTCTTGTTTCACAAGCTAATTACATGCTGTTATCTAATTGCGGGCTTTTTCTTTAGTAAATTTTATTTTATCTAACAGATCTTAAAACAGGAAAATAACTGACACGGCGAAATCAAACACACGATAAAAAAAGAGGCAAAAGCTATAGATTCTGACATAGGAAATTATGTTACGTTATTTTATTTATTTAAAAAGCAATTGAAATGCAACATTTCATTATATTCGATATTAGACAATTTGCAATTTTACTGTTTAATGGGGAAAGAAATTTAACGTGGTTTAAAAAGAAAATAATAACAGCTGTGATTTTGCTGGTGATCTTTTATAACAGAGCAACAAATAAAACGGATAGCAACTGTCACAATATTGCAATTTTGCAACACTTAAAATGGTTTCTATGTTATCATTTTACAATACATTAAAGCCACAAGTGTTTTCAACACTCAAAATGGTATATCGACAACTTTCTGGTGTCTAAAGATTCTGAAAGATCTTTTCAAAGATTTTTCACTTTCTTAGCAGTCTAAGAACAGGATTCTGTTTTGTTTCTACAGTTGCAGAAATTAGTACAATCTGAGATTATTTCATATAAAGTGAATGATATCCATTGATCTACTTAAACTTAATAAAATTTTAATTGAGAGTTCTAATTTTCATTTAAAAAAAAAACATTATCTAAATTGATCTATAATCATTATAATGAGAAAAAAACAACTTTTTATTTCTCTAAATAAAATTGTTCTAAAAACAACTTTTTTTCTTCGTTGCTATTTTTGTTAAAATTAAAATAAACTTAAAAGACAAATTGCCGCCTTTTTTTCATTATCATGTCACTAATATGCCGCCATATATAGACAAAAGACCTAGTCGAGTCAACAAAGTATATTTGTAGTAAATTTCAATAGTTTAACAAATAAATGCAGATTGAAAATCAAATACAACGAGATATTTTTTTATCGTAACAATATAGATGGCAACGTAGAAACATGCATCAACAAATAGTAAATACAACAATAACATATAAACATACAAACTAACATGTCTGTTTATATTAAGAAAAATTTATCATTGATTTAATCAAATGATTGATTGATTGAATTTAGTTAGCATATTTTTTAAATGTAAACGTTGGAAATTTGGCATTTGATCTGATGATCGTTTTAGTTTGTGACGTTGATCACGCGTCATAAACGTTGTTGTTAAAAAAGCGGAATTTCTCAAGATTTTTTTGCTGTTTTTTTTTTCTTTTTGTTAAACCGTGAAGCTTTCTGCTTGAATGCAATGAATAAACATTTGACTTTGCTGGAACTGTGTTTATTGATTTTATGCGTTTTTTTTCCGACTTTTTGTGGTTTTTGTATTTATTTGTCCACTGTAGTCGGCTGTTCTTCTCTTTTTTTCAGTTTATCATGATCGTTATTGCACTAGTCATTTGAATATGCAAAATGAAATGTTGCTGTGCTTGAGTAGTTAGATTATTGGCAAATATTATGCAGATTATTTAACAACAACGGCAAAAATAAACTTAAATAAACAAAAACAAATAATTTGCAAAGTCACTAACATGTAAAGCCGGTAAATATAATGAAATTTGTCAGTTTGTTTGTAACATAAATGAGGATTCGGTTTATAAATCTCTCCTTTTCTGTCAGAGTTGTCTTACTTTTCATGTTTTCTATTAACAAAAGTCTTATGTTAACACTTCTTTGTGAATGCCTAGTAAGCGAAAACTGAAAACTTTTTAGTTGTAGTGTTTAAAAAATTCGTTTAAACTAACATAAGTTCTAACTCTCCAGTCTGCCAATAAGTCTGTGAGGTGTTGATGTTACTTGTCTCGTTCTATCTTTACGTATCTTTTGTCATAATTAACATTTTGCAATAAATACATTTTAGTTTGTCGGTATATTGTTTTTATTTTTCCTCTTTTTCATTTCACCTCTGGCTCACCAAATGATTTTGTTACTATTCTGCTGTTGTTCTCAACACCTTCGCTGTCATTTGATGATAATGATGGCAATATTGATGATGATAATGATGATAATGTTGCTGATATACATACATACAAACAAATAGATTATGTCCGCGATATGGTATGACATTTGTTGTGCGACATATGCAGCACAATATGTCACAGCAATCTTTTTTTGTTGTTCGTGTTATTGTTGTAGTTGTTGCTATTACTATTATTTGTTGCTAGTTTGTATTATTATCGATTGTTTATTTTTTGTTTTTGCTTTTGTTGTTTTATCAATTTCATGTTTAAATGTTACGAATACAAAGCTTCGGCTTGTTTTGTTTGTAGTACATTGTATATTTTTTCTTTTTCGTATTTTTTTTTTTTTTGATACATTTCTATTTTTCTGAGAATTTTTCGCATGTGTTTCTAAAAAAACACGATTTTTCATATGTTACAGCTTTAGATAGTGATAAAAATAAGGAAATTATGGAGTAACAAGCGTTTAGAAAATTTAGATAAAAGGCATTAACTGTTAAACATTTAAGCGGGTTTAATAGGGGGTTTTATGTATGTTATTTGAGTTTATTTAAACGCTTATGATAGAAAAGATGCTTGAAGTGGCATCTTTTCTATCATAAGTTTTTGAATTATTTTTTTTGCGAATATTGAAACTTTTTGTAAAGAAATATGATCTGTGACCTGCAGTGAAATGGTTTTAACTTAATTTTTTTTTTTAATTTTATAATGAATATTTTATGAAAATTCGACCCTAAATATGGCAACATTTTGGTTTAAATAGTTGGCAACTCTCTTAGAAAGTGTTGTCAATATATTTGATTTGCCTTATTGTTGTTGTTATAATTAAAGTAAAAAAGCAAATAGAAAATATTACAATATATATAACAATAATTATAAACTCACCTGACATTGAACCCAATTCGCTGGAATGATTATTATTACTAAGACTTGAATGATTGTTATTATTACTACAGCTATTATTATTGTTGCTCTCTAGAGACGATGAAGTTAAACTACTTTGGGAGGATTTTTCTAAAACATCATGATCTTCTTTACAATATAAAATGCCACCATCCCGTAACGCAAATTCATCACCTGTTCGAAAGTAAATAAAAGAAACAAAATAAACATTATTACAATTATAAATTATTTTCAATTATTATTATTTTTTTTTTTTTTTGTAAATTACCTGGCAGTAATTGTCTCGCACATGCTGAACAGCGAAAACATTCTATATGGAATATTTTCGTTTTAGCACGCATCACAAAATCATTTTTACTAAAGGAATTACCGCATTTATCACATTTAGTACCAAATAATCTGTAAATGAAAAATAATAAAAAAAAGTAAATAAATAAGTATGTAAATAAATAAAATTTTACATAAGTAATTTAAAATAAATATAAAGCTAGTAAATAGTAGGAGGCAATATTGTTGTAAAACATTTCAAGTTCAATAAAAAAAGTTTTTCTTAAAATACTTGTGTTTGTAAATATTTAAGTTTTTGCAGAGGTTTTTGATTTATACTTTGTTTTGCTCCTTATTGTTTGTTTAATAAATATTATATATGTACTATTTGTATCTTTATAAATAAATAATAAATAATTTTTTATTAGCTTATTGTTATTTGTGGTTTTATTACTCTTTACACTATCAATCATAAAATAAAGTGTTAATTTATTAGTTTTATAGTTAAGTTGCTAATAAAATGTTTAAACATTTACATTTTAAATATTGTATTGCTAGCTGTTTGTTTGTCGATCTGACTTGACTACACCTGTAGAGTAGAGTTTTGTTACTTTTACTGGTGAATTTCAACAAAATTTATAAATATTTATTGTATAATTTTATATGTATTTTTTCTGTTTGTTTAAACAATTTATAGTCTTGCTGTAGTTTGCACAAAACATCTTGTTAAATATTAGTTTAATTTTGTACTTGTTTAAGGAAGTTAACTAAAGCGGAAGTAGATAAATAAGCAACAAGTTGGCAATATTGTAATGAGTATAAAGAGAAAAGGGAGAGAGAGAGTGGCCATATTACTGCTTAGCTTATAAAAGAAGTTGCCAGTTGGGTTTTATGTTGGTACAAGGTTGTGTTAACAGAGTTGTATTTAAACTTAAAGCTATTTTTTGTTAAAATCTTGTTAATTTTATTGTTATTTCTAGGAAATTGTAAATTATTTGTTAAAATAACTGTTGCCAAGTTCCCTCTCCCCTCTGTCGAAACTAGAACACACGTGCAAATCTAAATAACAATTAAATGCCGAAATTTTTTATTTATTTAAATCATAAAAGTACGATTTTTTATAGAATTGCTAATATGTTGTCCAATAAAATGAATTGTGTATTTTATTTATATTTGCATTTAAAGCAAATTTGTTATTACAACGAAAAACTCCACAAAAGTGTTGCTTATTTAAGTAGTTACTACAACTAAACTAATTTGTTAAATAAACACACAGCGTCTACATGCAAAATACTGAAAAAAAGTCTCATGACTGATGGATGATGATACTTTTTTTTAATTTTCTCGTTCGCACATAAGTGTGGGTTGAAGATTTTGTTGTTGGCAAACTTAAACTGAACGAAATAACAAAAAAATGCGTGGTTTGTTATGAAAAATGCATGTGTCTAAAAATTATCATGTTTTCTATACAAAAAAAAATTCACAAACAGCAGTGATATTGTAAAGTTTTTGTGAAACTTTTTATTTTTTGTTTTGTTTATTGTTGCAACTTACCTAACATAATCGCGTTTGCAGTATGTCTTGCCATCGCGTACAAAACACGTACAACTTTCATCTAAAAATTGCCGACATTCTTGGCATTTAAGACAGGCTGCATGCCATTCTAAATCGGGTGCTACACGCAGGATATACTGATCATGAATTTGCCCACCACAACCCACACATAACGATAGACGTTGTTTTTCTGCAAAGAGAGAGAAGAAAGAAAAATGGTTTAATAAAATTGTTAATAAAGTTGGTTTTGTAAAAAGTTGTTATGAAATAAAACAAATTTTTTATCAGGTGATTCTAACGACTTATTTCCTTGCAGGGTCAAAGGTTAAATTCACAACATTAGTTAAAAATTCTCATTATAAAAAAAATTTGACCTTTGGCCGCAGTGTCAAACAACGTATGGAAACGCTTTATCAAAACTAAACTGCCAAAACTTTTTAGAAAAGTGTTTATTACGTTCAAATCATAGTTGCAGCAAAACTGGAAGAGTTTAACAACCCTGCAAAAATTATTGGAGTTCACAATCCATTTAGGTAATCCAAAAACTACTCGCCTGTAAACATTATAGGAGTACATGATCCCTTTAGTAGTTCTATGTAATGCAGGCATGGATGATGTTTATTATTTTTGAAAACTACATGGTCTATATAGCCTGCATTACATAGGATCAGCCATGGGGGGTAATGATTACACAAAGTAATTACAAGGTCAAATGCAATTACTTGTAATTGCAATTGAAGTTTTCCCATTACAATTACTTGTAATGTGTAATTGACCAATAACCAATTACAATTATTTGTAACTGGCAAAGCTTAAATTACAATTACATGTAATTGTAATTGGTAATGCTTCAATTACAATTACTTCAAATGTAATTTTAATTGAAAAAGTAGTCATTACCCCCCAAGCTTGCATAGGACTATGTATTCCCACAATTTCAGCAAGGGACTAGTTTTAGGATTACTCCGTTGTAATGCATTGATGGATTACGTAGTGCTCACCTAGGACATCACAATGTTAAATGGAGTATGTCTTTTCCATATATTTGGATTAGTTTTGGACCGATCCTAGTCCTTTGAGAAGTACTGCCTATACTTTTTTTACCCAAATGAACACCTTGTTGAAACCCAATACAACATGTTGATATGTTTAGCAACATGTTGCTAGAGTTAATATATATATTTAAATTCTAAATTTACTAAAATTTCTTTTAAAGTAACTTTTGATTCTAAAATAAACTTTTTTTGTAACAAAAAAAGGTAAAAAATAGGTTTTTCCTTAAAAAAAATAACACTCAAGCATCATGTTCATGTTCTTGAACAACTTTTTAAACAACAAAGTGTAAAGAACACCATTGAAAAAGTTTTTTTCTTTTTCAACTTTTTTTTCTATATTTTTTTTTCTAGTCAAATACATTTTTTAGGGTGAACCGAAAAAGAGACGGCGAAAAAAAACGAATAAGTAAAAAATGCGAAAAGTTTTTTTTTGTTTGTTCTTGTTGTTTTCATCTATAAAAACAAACTTTGACGTATTTAGTGATGTTTAAAAAACGTTTTGCTTGGTAGATTTTTTTCGGCACACAATTTTTAAAACTTTTTTTCAGTTTCTTTTTTTTTCGTATTTCTTGTTCGAATTTAAAAGTACTGGCGAGTATTTGAAATTGCAAGTGTATAAAGTAAATATACAGACAACTAGAATATGTATGAATGAATGTATATATACATCAATCTTTTTATTTTACTATAAATGTATGGCTAAAAAGATACATACAAACGTATCTTTAGCATCATCATCATCAACATTTTGGTGTAGATATCATGAATTATTTATAAAGGCGGAGCAGACAAGATTATATACTATACAAATATACAGCTGAATGTATATATTATATACATATATACAAAAAGATGTATGTTTGTTTGTATATATGAAAAAAAAGATAAATTTTTCAACATACAATTTTGTAGCTGTGATGTGATGTTGTTGTGTGTTTTGTTGGTAGTCGTGGCTATTAAATGTTAAAGCTTTAAGCCTGCTGGTTTTTTGTTCTTCTTCGTTTTTTTTCATTATTATTATCTGTTGGCCTCCATTGCTTCTATATAGTCAGTCGCAGAAGAAAAGAACATGATGGCTACGTTTAATAAGATAGAAGAAAATAAAGAACAATTTATACAAGAACAAGATACATACAAATGGTTAGAACAGATACAGAAGTTAGGAAGGTTTATTTTTTTTTTTTTCATCAAAGTTTTTGTTATTTTACTTATTTTATTTGTTCATAATGAAGTTCTTGTATCATGTTCTTCCTTTTCGTTATATTTACGCGCACGCAATCTTAAATGTTTTTTATGTTCTTGTTGTTTTTTTTTTGCATCATATTTGAGGAGTCTGTTGGGATAAATGGTTACTTGTATACACAAGAGTGTGGGGTTGAAATTTTATTATGGCATCTTAAAGCTTCATCCATACGCTGTTTGTATTTATCCTCCATTTTGACTTTTTTCCATAAAGGAAATATAAGCGTATATTTTATGTTTTTGTCATTGTAAGTATTTTCTTACTTTCGAGTCAAAGAAATTACAATATAATACACGTATTTGTAAAGTAATAAAATTTACAGTAAACACTTGAGTTATTGAAATGAAATAAGGAATTTCGATTTACGATAATTCCCAGCTAATATTTTTTGAAGTTTTTGATCACATTAGAGTCATTTATAACTCTTCTGCACGATTAAAATTATCATATATGTGCTCATTTTCTGATCATTGTATTCTACTCGCGACTTTTCTAAAAGAGTCTTTTATGAGCCCCAGTTCTGATCAGTTCCGACTTATTTTTGTATCTATTTTGAGTCATTTGTGAGTCGAAATACTGGTCATTTTAGAGTCATTTTCGAATCATATTTTATTAATTTTAATAAACCAATACAATAATAGAAAAAAAACAGTTTTTGAACTTCTGACTGAGCAAAATATAATTACAAAATAAATGTATAAACAAACATATCTCAAACAACTCTTCTAAAGGAGTCTTTCATGAAATTCTTTTCTAATCAGTTTCGACTCGTTTTTGAATCTTTGTTTCGTCACAAACAAAGCCAATTACATATGATAAAATTTTCTATCTTCCAACTGCTTGAAATATGATCGACTTCTAAAAGAGTCGCGACTTCCGACGAAATTATCATTTATGATGAGAAAATGAGCGCAAATATTATTATTTTATTCGTACAGAAGAATCATAAATGACTCGAATGTGATGAAAAATTCAAAAAAATGATTGCTGGGATATGTTACAAATAAAATGAGATAAATACAATTGAAATCGATAAATAAATTTAGGTTTTATGCTCTATAAGGCAATGTTATCTTATTTTAACCGAATGTTTGAAAATTAGTTAATCTTTAAAAATTAATAAAAAATTGGAATTCAATAAAAATAATCCTTTTATGATTTGGTTATAAAGCTAAATGTGTTATGAATAAAATGATATATCTTTTATAAAAAACGATGTACAAATACGGATTTTATAACGAATTTAGTAAAAGTATTCAACTTTTAAAATGTTGGGTTCAACAATTTTTTATTTTAAAAAATTCATAAAAAATCGAAAAAGTGCAAATTATACTTATTATTTATAAAACTTAAAGCTAAATATATAGCAATTAAAACGATATATATTTAATTTAAAGCGATATATAAATAATGATTTTATGTAAAAATAAGTGAAAGGTTACTTATTTTGACAGATAAAAAAGGAAAATAAATCTTAAAGTTTAAAAATTCATAAAAAATCTAAAAGAACTAAAGCTTCAGTTAATTATTTAAGGGGATAAAGTAAAATCTTTAAGAAATAAAATAAAACTTACTTTATTAACAACGCTTTCAAAGTATAGATTTTATTCACAATTAAGTGTTAAAACAGCATTTTCTCAAAAATAGCCAAAAACAATTAAAGAAAAATCAAATAATTTTGTATTTAATTAAATATTTTTCACATAAAAATGTTAAAGAGTTTTCTAAGGCTTTAAACTTTATGTAAAAATAAGTGAAAGGTTACTTATTTTGACAGATAAAAAAGGAAAATAAATCTTAAAGTTTAAAAATTCATAAAAAATCTAAAAGAACTAAAGCTTCAGTTAATTATTTAAGGGGATAAAGTAAAATCTTTAAGAAATAAAATAAAACTTACTTTATTAACAACGCTTTCAAAGTATAGATTTTATTCACAATTAAGTGTTAAAACAGCATTTTCTCAAAAATAGCCAAAAACAATTAAAGAAAAATCAAATAATTTTGTATTTAATTAAATATTTTTCACATAAAAATGTTAAAGAGTTTTCTAAGGCTTTAAACTTTATGTAAAAATAAGTGAAAGGTTACTTATTTTGACAGATAAAAAAGGAAAATAAATCTTAAAGTTTAAAAATTCATAAAAAATCTAAAAGAACTAAAGCTTCAGTTAATTATTTAAGGGGATAAAGTAAAATCTTTAAGAAATAAAATAAAACTTACTTTATTAACAACGCTTTCAAAGTATAGATTTTATTCACAATTAAGTGTTAAAACAGCATTTTCTCAAAAATAGCCAAAAACAATTAAAGAAAAATCAAATAATTTTGTATTTAATTAAATATTTTTCACATAAAAATGTTAAAGAGTTTTCTAAGGCTTTAAACTTTATGTAAAAATAAGTGAAAGGTTACTTATTTTGACAGATAAAAAAGGAAAATAAATCTTAAAGTTTAAAAATTCATAAAAAATCTAAAAGAACTAAAGCTTCAGTTAATTATTTAAGGGGATAAAGTAAAATCTTTAAGAAATAAAATAAAACTTACTTTATTAACAACGCTTTCAAAGTATAGATTTTATTCACAATTAAGTGTTAAAACAGCATTTTCTCAAAAATAGCCAAAAACAATTAAAGAAAAATCAAATAATTTTGTATTTAATTAAATATTTTTCACATAAAAATGTTAAAGAGTTTTCTAAGGCTTTAAACTTTAATAAACTAAAAAGGATAAAAATAAAATGACCTGCGCAATGCATGCTACCAACGATTTCCTTTCGCCGGAAAATAAAAACCAGAGGAGTATGAGAAATTTCGTATTTTTGTTATTGTTGTTTTATATTAAGTATCCGTTTTCCTATAGTCAGAGTGCGTGTGAGTGTGTGAGTATATAGTAT